ACAAGCCAGGTATGTACCCAGCAATCACAGGAACGTTGTCCAAGGTATAGTTTGGTCATATTTGCCTCTGGGCATGTCAAAAGGAACCCTACAAAATCAGTGCAGGGCTTTGGCATAAATCTAGCATTAAAAGGCGACCCAGTAGAAGACACTGATTTACTGGTGCCTGTCAGCGTCTGTAAATACATATGTTTGTGGCATAGAACCTGTGCTTTTTGGCATAGATTTTTCCCATCCTTCTCTATTATTCATCTATGGGTTGTATTTCCAGAGAATAATCTTCTTTCCAGTTTGAAATTATCTAATCCTAAATTGTTCTGTCCTTGCTGGCCTGGCAGTCATTCCATCTCCTTCATCAGCTTCAGTCTTCACTGCTCTGCTTCTTGTACAAGATGAGACATTTCCTAATTTCAGTCTCCTTCACAGAAGTATCTACTCTACCTGGGCCAGCATTTGTAGAGCTGCTTGTGCACCTTGCCTTGCAGATAGGAAGGGGCTTGGAGCCCTCACACAAGCCAGAAGTCCTGGTTGCCTTGAGATGGAGCGTGTGTGCCACTGCTTGCAAAACAAGCAAACCCACTCCAGTGGGTCCCCATTCTGCTGCAGTGCCTGTAACATCCCTAGGCATGCACCACCTTCCACACAGGAAAAGGTGACCCAGAATTGAGTTAGAGATGCTGGATGTACACTGAAATAAATCGCTGAGCCTCTGAACATGAATGAGCCAGTCAGCTGTAGTTCATTACCACCTTAGTCATTACTTTGCAAATATTTGGACTTCTGCCAGAATTCATCAACATATTTCTGGATTCCAGGAGTGTCAGGAATTCATACCAGCTGTTCATTAGTCACTGCTAACCACTCAACTTACTCATGCTAGGGAATGTCAGTGTTTGCTTAGAAAATTAGAAACCATACTGGTTCATCCACAAGGCATCCCACTCATAAAGGTTCATTAGTGTAGCATGTTAGTCAACTTTTTCTATGACACTCATAGGTGGAAAATTTTTTGCCCAGAAAGCCAGCTAATGTTTAAAAAAAATACCCCAAATGCTTCAGACTCATTTCCCAAAGCTTCATACTCCCTGCTGCATGACTGCCCTGAGTGGCTCTGACCAGGGGATCTACAGGGGGCTGGTGCAAGGCTTCTGCCTGTCACTTAATTGCTGCTCAAAGCTTTTTTGAGTGTCTGCTTGCCATTTCAGGGGTACTTCAGGCCTAAAGTCCACATTGCAAAAGGCCCTGGAGCAGAGCCCAGAATCATCTCCTGTCTCATTGCACTGCTGCATCCAGCTCTGTTTCATGAGGTGACCTGACAGCCTAACTCAGGTTCACTTGTCCCTCCTGAAGGTGAAGATCATGAGGTGGCTCTGAGCAGGATCCAGCTGCTTCTCCAGCAGGACAGATTCCCCAGGGAACTGGTCACAGCACAAGTCTGACAGAGTTCAAGAAGCATTTGGATAATTCTCTCAGGCATGTGGCTCTTGGGGATGGTACTGCTTAGGGGCTGGAGTAGGTGGTCCTCGTGGATCCCTTCCAGCTGAGCATATTCTGTGATGCTGTGGCTCCCATTGTCTGAGAGCAGCCTCAAAGCTTACCATCACCCAGTGATGGGCCCAGTGCGCTTTGAAGGAGAAGGGAGAAGAGCTGAAGCAACATGATCAAAACGGGGTCCTAGTTCACCACAGAAATACATCTAAGTCCCCAGTATGGGACTCAACATGCAAGCTTTTCACAGACACATTTCTCAAAGACTTGCACACTCCTGCAAGGCTTGTTTTGGAACTGAAGAGGTTGAAGCAGCTACTTCTTTCATGATTTGGTCTGAAACAAGTAAATGTCTATCTCTCAGTGACTCTGCTCTGTGCAGCTTAGCCAAAGCTGCTGCCTGCCTTGAGTGACTGAAGGGTGGAAATGTCAGCTCTCAGGGCCACAGCCTCTCCCATCAGCTGGTCCTAGATGGGTTCCCTCATCAAAGACAGCCCTTTGCTGGCTTTGTTTAGTTGCCAGCATCTTCTTTCATCAGGATAAAAGTGCACAGCCCTGGCTTACCAATGAGCACTGCCCAGGGGAATAAGCCTTTGAAAATGGGCATGTGGCCCAACTCAGCTTCCCTACCTTTGCTCTGGACATCTTGGTGCCAAAGGAAGAGCATCTTCTGCCCTGGGCCTCCTAAGGATATGCAAGGAGAATGACATCCAGGAGATCTCTTTGTGGTAGGAGTATCTGCTCCAACAGGCAGTATTACCTGGTTATGGTATTTGGAGCTGGATGATTGTAAGTGTTGCTCATTTACAAGAGATGGGTTTGGCTCTAAATCAAATCTTCCCAGCATGTAGAAGTCTTTCTCATAAGCTCACTTACGTCCATCTTTGCTAAAAGATCTCAAGTGGAAAATTACTGAGGAGAAATTAAATGGTAAATGCGGAGGCCAGTGTACCAAATATTTGTGCAGATGAAAAGAAATTGCCTCTATTACAGGGAGATAAAAAGGTACAAACAGAGAATTTAACTAAATGGTTGATTTTCTCCAGTTAGTCCAAAGGAAAGCTCTAATTTCCCTAGAAAGGACAAAAGAAAGAAAAAAGCACAGCCCAAGGGAAGGGAGGAAAAAAAGACATTAAAAAGCATAAGACAGTATTTCCCATTATGAAAGGGGCTTTTTGGAGACATAATGCTCAGACCTACATTATTACAAGATTTTTTGTGATTTATGACAAATCTTATAGCTGACAGAAAATACTTGACATAATTCAGTTAATATTACAAAAGGTCTTTGGAACAAGCTAGCACAAGCTTTAAACTTTCAACTTTGGATAAATTAAAATTCTTACACGAAGAGCCCATAAAGACAGCACGTGTCCCAGCAACACTGTGGATGTTATGTTTATGTGGACATACAGAAAACAGTTGCTGGGTTTGGGAGATTGTCCTTTAGTCTACTGTTCAGAATAATCTTGAAAATTAACTAAGGGATAGAAACCCAAAATTTGTATGCATTCTTACTTTCAAAAATATAAGCAATTGTGGCTGCTCACTGAACACTAAACTCTGCCATCAGACAGTTCAGTGTCAATCCCACTGGACATTGCTTTTCTCAAAATACAGAGTTTCTGTGTGTAGAAGGCCACAAACTAATGCACACAGTTACTCACAAAAAAAAAAAAAAAAAAAAAAAAAAAAAGCATTGTCCCAGGATATAATTTATAGATCACTGTCCCTTTGCAACTGTGATCTGAGTCACTGCTGGCTTTTCTCCAAGCTCTGTTTTGAACCTGTGCTTTTGGGTTGGTCTCTGTCTTCTTTGTCAGGCTGAGATAGTTTGATAATTTTCATTATGTCTCTATTCCTGTTCAATAAATGTATAAAAATTGTGTTCCACATCCCCTTGCCTTTCAAGAATAGTGAATTCTGCTCAGATTTAGTGATATGTTGCTACAGCAATGACGAACATACTGTATGTTAAATAAAGCAGGAGACCAAAATGAGTATTACTTTCTATGGAACATTTTAGAACAGAAGTTTTAGTGGAATGACTTTTTAGTGGAATGACTTTCAAAAAGTGGTTTCATAATAGTATAAAAATTATTTTATTTAAGCCCTGATATAAAAAACCCAAGCCACTTACATTTTAGCTTTTTTCTTTTCTCTGGCCTTTCTACACTAGAAAGAAGTAAAGACCACAGGGCAAGGGAGAAACTTCTGTTTAGATCAGCAAACATGAATGCAATATTGCTTTATGTATTGGAGGATGGGTAGAGAAAGAAAAATGACCCCTTTAATTAATTTTAAACCGTATGAAATCACAGAACTTGTTCTGTATCCATTCAGTCTGGAAAGAGAATTCACTTAGAAATCAGAAATTATTTTCTTAGTTAAGTAAGAGACATTTCAAACACATCAACAGGTTTCTATGGAACGAAATATCCTTTTTTAACTGACCTCACTAGACACACGTGCTTATATGGCAGACCTCTGCAAGATACATGTATTGAGCTGATGGCTTCATGCTTTTTTCCATTCCCCCTTTCATCTCCTACTTCTGTCCTTTGTTCTTCAGTGATTTTCTGAATGGCAGTTTGTTTTTCTTGGCTGACTCTCAAAAACGTCAGTCGACGTTGGATCAATGGATCGCATCTTCTTTGATTTCAAACCAATTTTAAACCCATTAAAAATCTGAGCTGTTTGTCCTGTAGTGTTCTTACTCCTGCCTGGCCTCCAGAAGCTCAGATGTCTTATTTAAGCAAGGGCAGTAAGGTGCCAAAATACCTCCCGGCTTGTGGTCTGAGCTTTGTCCTGGCTGTCCTCTCTGTTGCAGGGCACAGTGCTGCAGTGCCCTGGTTACACAAGGCTGCTACAGCCCATGGCCTGACCCTGGCATAAAAAAGGGACCTGGGGCAACACTATGTCCTTGCCAGAATTATTAGAAACCCTCTCCCCAAAGCAGTATTTTTCTGTGGTGCATTGGGGGTGGATGGGATTCAGACTGCAGATTTCAGATTTCAGTCTGTAACCTCCTGCAGACATTTCTGAGCCAGGGATCTAGAGGAGGAATTAGGATGTCACAGGTCTACAGAAGCAGTAGAAGTTCATTCCCACCACCCATATCTGCAGTGGTCTCCTCAGGACATAAGGAAAATTTTGTTACCTTCTTGAATCCCCTTGCACTTAGAAAATCCTCCCTATGACAATGATGAAGTGAAGCCCTGGTCTGCAGTCTGGCTGTCAGTGTGTTTCCTTGCTGAACTTCTGGGAGCTTATGTCCATGGCCCTGCCCAAGTCTCAGTCACTCCAGCTGTTAGAAATGTCTAAATTTATCCTGTACGAAATGTGAGTAACTGGCTTTGTATCAGCTCCTATGTCTCCAGATGTTTCAGTATCTCATCTGTCAGGAATGTATTTCAAATTTTGTCCAATGCCAAAATCACAAAGCTATAAAAATATTTCCATCCTTAATAACTCCTGAATATTTCTGATATTTCCTCTTAAGCATTGCTTACCTCTCTTCATCCTTTTCCAGTGATTTCTTCTTTCAAAACAAGGAGAACATTATCTCAGTCATAATTCAATCATTCAATGTCCCATCTCTGAGAACGGCCAAGATCTGGTGAAGAGCCAAATAAGGTCAGAATGTAAAACTATGAAATCAAATTATTTGACCATAATTAGAGATATTCCCCAGAGCTTAGTGTCTGCTATGTGTCTTTAATACGTTTTTGGTCCTGTCTATTGCTACAGTCTCTTCATTCATATGCAGCTATGTATGTGTTTATTTGCTTCTCTTAAAAATTTTAGCTCTGCAGGGCAGCACATTCTGTTTTATGGCCTGTAAAGATACAGAAACTGGACATGGGAAAAGAAATCTCTCATATGTCTCACTCTTACAGTGCTGTGATATCCTTGTAGTATCCATTATTATGTTTTTAATGGAGTTGGAAATCCCCTAAACTTCTTTAATTTGTTCTTTCATTCTGTATTTCATTTCATTTTTCCTGTTATGATTTTCTTTTCTGTGCACACCTGCACACTATACTGCCTTGAACAACCATACTGTGACTCATTTACTATCAGTATTTCTCTCCAGTCCTTGTTCAGCCAGATCAGGCTTCACTGTCTGTGCTTCTAGCAGAGGTCTGTCCTCCCTCTTTGTTTCCTCCTGTTCTTGTATGAATCCCACCAGCATGTCAGCATCTTTCCAACAGTAGGGTTCCCAAGTTGGTGAACAGACCTCTAGGCCCTTTCTAAGGAGTTTTTCTGTTACAAAAGAGGTCATAGGGCAAAAGGAACATTAATTCATTGCCTGGGTTATTGGAGGACAGTCAGCCTAATCCCCTTTGTGTCATAAAACTCAAGCTAAAGGACTAGGGTTGACTATGGTTTAGTGGTACCTAAATAAGTAGGAATGCAATTTCCACTGGGACTGGAGCCACAAGCAGACAGAAGTTTTGCAAATCAAAGTATCCTGTCATCTTCCTTTCAGGTATCCTGCCACCTTCTTGTCCATATATTCCTGAGTGAGCTGTCTGTGCACACTGTAAGGAGATGGAGAAAGCTGGGTGCCCAGGAATGGGACTAGAGAGATCAGGACATTGGAGATCCAGGACATGACTAGGTAATTAATCACGCGGGAGGGAGCTCTATGTCAAGTCAGCATATACTATACCTGTCCACAGGGTTTTCTTTGGACTGTAATGTTCCTATCATTCATATGGCTTATAGGACCCTAATGTCCTGACCTGAAGGACAGGTCACTCATGTGATCCTGTACATATCCCTGGGTGCAGCTGATGGTCACCTGGAGCAGAGCTCCTGTTTAGTGGTCATTGAAGGAAATCTCATTCTCATGTGCCAGAACCACTGTGTGAATCCAACCAGTAAGCAAGATTGGAGATAAGTGGAGATTATCAGGGAATTTGTTTACAAACTGCACAACTGCTCCTACAAAGCCAAGGCTACTCCCATGTTTGTCTGTCAGAGACTTAATGATATGTGGAAGCATGCCACTGCACTGCTGGACTTTGTTGTTTTCAGATGCTAACACAATAGTCACTTTGTCACCGCAGTCACTGTGCTTGCCCTGTGAAGCTTTTTTTCAAAGCTCTCAATGGACACTTTCTAAGAAGTCTAGACTTATTTTATAAAGACAGGAAACACAAAGAGTGACTGTCTCATATTTTTTCATTCTGCAGATAACTTGGCATTTGGACTCCTGCTTTATAGCACAAAAGGGCACTATAATGACCCAGAAGAGTGGAGTCTGTCATGCTTAAGCATTTCCTTTACTGTCTAGTATTCTTTAGGGATAATTTCTTATGCACAGTCTTATCCTAATTTTGTCAAAAAAGATATCAGCAGAAGGGGAATGAGAGAAGTGGATGGGTATGAATGACAGATCAGGGAAGAGAAAACATATCAGGTGTAGGCTGCAAGGGTAGAATTGGTTTTTTTTAACAGGAGGCAATTAAAGGTCATGATGGCAGGAAATAAAGGATGGATCTAGGCTGTAACTTGGAAAAGCAGAGCAAGTTTGAGACTTAAGAAGAACTTAAGAGTAAGGAAGAAAACAACAAGAAGATCAAGAAAGAAACAATAGACATGAAATCTCATTTAATTTTATTTTCCAGCCCAAATAGACCAATTTTTCTCCTTAAAGTACACAGTATGTGTTTCAGCTGATATGTTCATGACAAGGAGGAAAAAACATCCCTGTCAAAGCTTTTATTGACTGAGAGGTGCAGTTTGGAGTAGCAGAAAATATTTTTGGGTTAAGGACATAGGTTTAGCTATAACAAGAAAGAATTATCTGGAAATGCTAGGATAAACCTATTATAATGTTCACAGCCATTTTTAGGATTCATTTGTGTTAGCAGCAAAAGTTTAAATTCAAGCAGCAATGGTATCAACACTGCTGCTGGTGTCATCCCAGTTGAAATACCAGAGCATCCAGGATGCATCAGTTCAAGCCTTTTTACTACCTGCAGACATTTAGACCCCTGTCTCCTGCCACACTGCTTTGGGCTGTGGTGGGTGTTTTGGGATGTGCTGCTTTTCATTGCTTCTGTTGACGCTGTACCTCTTTGCATACACATTCACTTGGCACTTGGATATGTATCACTGTAAGGGTGAACCATTCCTCCTAATGTGGTGCTCAAAGCGGCAGGTGATAAAGTCATCCTCTCTTGAACATCTCAGTGCAGCAGCAGCCTGTGAAACTTGCTAAAGAAACCTAAATGAGCAAGAAAAAACACTGAGAATAATTCAGCCCACAATAGCTCTTTGGTTAGGATGTTTTCCCAAGAAGGAGGTTTAATTTTGCCCAGGACTCAAACCAATATTTTGCTGTTCACTGGTGAGGCCTTCTTTCACTGCTTTAGCTCCTTTGGGGGCTTGGCATTTCTCATGCTGAACATGGCAAATAGGAAAAATTTCAGGCATCATAGTCAATAACAACATCTAAGAAAAGTTGCTTAAAAAATCAGTGATGTTCAGAGTTTAATTTCAGGAATAAGAATGGTATAACTAGTGTGTGTTTACTGAAAGGTCATCCGAAAAAAGGACAATCACATTTCTGATCAGATGATGAACTGAAAAAATAGCTACTAATTCAGTCCTCGGTAGTGGTTTAGCTTTTCATTAAAACAAAAGGTCTTCCATGGCCTAGAAGTGCTACAGAAGTACCCAAGCTCTCAGTGGTTTCAGGGGCCCACCACTGAGACAGCTTGGAAATCCAGGAGGATTGACATCTAATGTATGCCAGGGAACTTCAGCAGTCTCAGTCTCTAATGAACAAGCTGAGTCTTCCCAATGTAAACATCAGAAGCAATCAAACCTTAAGGATCAGATGTGCCAGCTGACCCCAAGCAGAGATCCCATCTAAGGCTTAACAGCACACCTGGGCAGGGATCCAGGTCAGGAGCAACAGCGAAAAGAGAGTAAATTCCCTCCTTCTTTGCATATCCTAGTCTAAGCATGCAAACTCTTCCAAAAACACTGTAAAAGAGTTCCAACTCCCCACTGAATTAGCATACCCTTATAAGCTAGATGGTCACGGCTGTTGATAGAATGGTCTTATTCATACAAACTAAGAATCTGGCTGGTATCTGTCCCTGTTTGTGACCTTTTTCCTCCCCTTCCAAGCGCAGTCACAGCACTGACTCATGGCACTTGAAGGCATTCCCTGTTGCCCAGCAAAACTGATTTTAAGCCACCATATATTGAAGTTACTCTTCAGGAGTTTAAAGCAATCACCTGAAGAAGTCTTGCCTGCTGAAGTGTTTTCATAGGAGTCCATAAGCCTTTCCTAAAGGATGTAGCTGAACTAATCATCTAGTTGCATGTAGGAACAGCAGCCCCTTCCACTCCCCCATAGTTCCCAGTGCCCAAAGCCCACTTGCAGAAGTGCTTTGGGCATTTAAGGCCTCACAGCTCTACAGCAGCTCTATTTTCTGTTCTTCCTGTGAATTTACCACATAAGCCGGTGAGAGGAGGCTGTGCAGACCGAAACTGCCTCAACTTCTTTTTCTTCTCTGAGAGCTCCTCCCAAACCTCTTTGGTACAGGTACACAGCTAGCATGTCCTGGGGTAAAAATCTGTCACTTTACTATTGTCTACTGCAAAATGTCTCCAGATCCCCATGTGCCTGCTGCATGTTGTTGTATCAGAGGCATACACACCAGGGCCTGGAAATTTGAGCTGTTTGGAGGAGGATGGAGAATCCCCAGAGGACTCTCTCTGAGATGATCAGGCTTTGTTCTGGCCATGCTGATATTTCATGTCTTCCCTTCTGCCTGCAGCGTGGCTGAGAGGTACCAAAGCTGGCTGTAAGCAAGAGCTTAATACCAGGGTAATTTAGCTTAATTGCTCTATTTTCAACCAGAGCAAAAGTCATGAGGCCCCTGGCATCTTTAACACATGGAGGAATAAGGCAGCTGGGAATTGTGTTATTTAGGCTGGCTCTCTGGCCATCTTCCCACTTTGTACGTGTTCTACGTCCAGACACACTGAACAACCAGGGCTTTTGTAGTTAACTACATATAAAAAACTATGTTTAAAAGCTCCCTAGTGATCCAAGCTTGAAAGCAGCCAAAGGGTGACTAGAGTAAATGCAGCAGTTACATGAACCCATAGCTCTGCTACATTACGGTGCTACAACAGTACACACACAGCACATTCCACATTTATGGAGCTCTTTCTGTTTAAAGAGAGAAGGGCTCTTCCATTTCCACTTCCACTGAAGCAAATTCATTTGGCTACACGATATACTCCAGATAATCTGCTGGATGCGTGTTAGACATACAGAAGTAATTCTCTTTTGAAGGTGTATTTTCCACCAGCCAGCACTCAGTGATGCTCACACCCAGTAACCTGCATTGTGAAGTCTAACTGCAATGAAAGTATCTCAATTAGCACAAGCTCTTTCTAGCATTAGATCTTTCCACTGCGCCCTATGGTGCATGGACAGTATTTTTGTCTGACCAGGACTGTGACTCACTTGGACTATTCCTCCTTCCTAGATGCAGATACTTTGTTTTTCAAAGAAAGGAGGGAAAATAGACCTTCTGCAACACATCCTTTTGTCAAGAGAGCTTCCCCATTAGTAC